ATTATAGGAAATGCGTTTTTCTAAGGTACATAAACTTTTGGTATTGACTGTATAGCCAATACATCCTTAATCTCCCATGACTTAGGAAATAAAGGACTGTCCACTTTCGTTGGCCAGCCTCCTGTACAGATAGTTCATTGGATTCTGAACTCAATTATGCATACGTAGAACATGTGGCACGTTCACGTAGATCCAAGTAGCGGCGATGCGCGGGAGGCATTAAAGATCGACAGATAACGCGTTGCACTTTGTGTTTCACTGTGGGTGCGTGCGAAGTGAATCCAGAATCCATGAGTATTCCGGGACGAATACTACGTGTTATTTGTACGCGACTATAAGAGTACCGACAATAAAACGGTGATTTACAGGCAAACCGGGCTTACGTTATAATCGCCGAGGGTTATCTGAAACAGTGCCATCCAGGTCGAGTGGTAGGAATTGTAGAGGGACGATTTCACCCCCGGGAATCCTTTGTACAAAAAGTAGAACGACTGGCAGAAACCGAAGAGCACCACCATGTAGATTATCCCGAAGGTCAACATGTCGCCGGTTATCATGCTGTAGACCATCGTGACGAACGGGCCGGTCAGCCGAATGGCGCTGCGGGAACCAAATCAACGTTATTAACGAAGACGTGTGGCCAGAGAAGCAAAAAGGGATGGATCGCGTTAATTGGTAATAAAATGATTCGATCGATCGAGCGGGAGGAGACGGGGGGGAGGGAAAGGGGACGGAGGGGGGCCGAGGACATAAATCGGACGGGTTCGCGTATAATTTCTCAATAATACAAACGGCCGGCGTGGAATAACGAGACAGTTGTACAGTACAGGAACGGTATAAATCGGTGGGCACGCCGGGGCATAAAACAGTGGCAACCAAGTCAGGCTGTCGATGTAAATCGTCGCGAAACATCGTCCTTCAAACTGGGCGCCGCCACTGGTTTTCGTATAGTGAAGCCAGACTGAGGAATAATTGTCATCATCCGTGCGCGCCCGTTTCCCCGGAAATTTTACGAAATCATTCGGCGTCGCTGCTGTTGTTGAAGCTCGATTACACCTCGAATCCTCCGAGGGGAAAACGTTGAACTCGTGCGCCGGAGTCGAAAGAAAATATCGGGTAAAATGAAACGAAGGAACGGGTGAGTGAAGGCCGGGACTAAAAGGGAAACACGATGAAATAAAACGTATTTTTATGTCGAGTCGTGCGGCCGAGCGTTTCGCTTTTCCTTACGGGAACGAGTCCTCGTGTTTCTTCCTCGTATTTGTGTATCCCCTACCCTCCCACGCTTATAATCAGCCTCTTGTTTCGACGCTCGCTGACGATGAGAATGTCCCGACAGTTCTTCCAATTCCTCTTTCCTCCTCTTCGCACCGTGACGAAATTTATGTTACATATATCACTAGCTGTCAGGGAATTTTTAAATTGAGCAAGATGAACCGGATATTGGCCGACCGCCTCCATACTTGCATATTCATACCAGGAGCAAGGCACTATCCATATATTGGAACGTTCATAAAAATTCTATAACATTTTATTATCCGGCGTTATGTCCAACCATTTGAATATATGCGTCGATTGAACAAATTGGATTAAAGGATGGAGGATTGACAGGATCATCGATCGTGGCTGTCGTTAGTCGTAACGACAGCTCGGTCCCCTTCCCGTTTCCGTTAATCGATCGGCGACCTTATCTCGCCGAGGGTTACCGGCAGTCATAAATCTTCAGTTTTTCCCGGGCGGCTAAGTTCAAGGGAAGACAGTCCTGCCGGAAAATAGTCAACGGATATGCATCGTGAAAAGTTATTGCCCCGATAGTGTTATCGAGCCGGATACCAGTCTGGGTGTATTTCACGGGTGGAGAATATTCGAAATCAGTAACTACTTCACTTGGAAGATCGTGTTTAACCATTCTTACCCCGAGTGAGACTCGTGGTACGAAAATCGATTCAAAAATAACAATCTCGACACCGACTCGTGGTACAAAAATAAAAGCTGGCTTATCTTGGCTTAAGTTCCACTACTCGACCATCTTTTACCTTGCAAAGTATAAAGAAAATCGGAGGACACTTGGAACGGGGGAGGGTTCTCTTTAGATTGGATCAAACGTAAACATCACGAGTCAGAGTCCTCGGCGCTTAGCAGGTGGGACAAAGGGTTAAATATTGGTCCCTCGAATTTTAACGCAATTTTGAGAATTCCATAAAAAAAGTATACTCCTCTTGAAATCCTCCCCTCTCTGATCGCCGATGGATTCGGTGTCAAAAACATTCATAGCACTCGGAAGAATCGATTTGATCCGGGACGGGTGGGCGATTCAGTAAATGCGACCATTGTCCTGTCCCGTTCGCGATTTCGGCTTGAATTACGCGCCGCTTCAATTAAACGGCGATCGCGTTGGTAAATCGGATAATCAACGGGGAACGAAAACAGGTAACGCGACGAGCCGATAGACAACGCGATAGCAAACCCGGTAATAGGAGTAACTTTATCTCTCTTCGCTGCCGTTTCGTTTCGATACTCGTCCACGGAGCCATCGCCCGAAGATATAATCGGTGGCTATACATCTGGAGATTTCTGTAGAAATTTTTACATTACATGGCAAATTATCAATTGCAGACTCTGTACAAAGATATTAAATCATCTGTGACGACGAGTTCGATGCTTCGATCTCCTTTAGGCTTCATTATCCTCGGGCTTTAATGAACCGGTAACAATGCCCGGAAGATCAATGTCTTGATAATCACTCACATAGGAATAGAGCGTCAGTCATTGCAGTCCTAATTACGAACTCAGGTAACATTGATATCGTTCGCGTTACCACCGCACAGCATCCGCTAACAACGTACTTACATTTGTGGCTGTGTTGAAATCGATGTACAGGCGTCTTCAAGTGAAACATGATACTTCATCGACTCCTTAGACACAGTAACGCCCCGTCATTATTAAAGCAGCACCTCGTTCAAGCAACACCAGTTTAAATCACCCCAACAATTAGTATCTCGAAACGCGTTATTAAATTTTCGTTAATCCTTCGCACTCGTACGGCTGGACACAAAGTATTCTCGTCCTCATTGGAAGTAAATCGAGTGCAAAGGGTTAAAAGTTAGATAGATTAGCTTGATGTAATAAACATAAAAGAAATAGAAAGTTGCGCTTTAATTTCTTATCTAGGAACATGAAAATCTCGAGTACAGGGGTCTGGGTATCAGTGCATCGGTTAGTGCAGTTACTCCGGGCATTAATTTCAGACTCCATTATGTTGCGGAGGTTGCCACGATGTAGAGAAAGATATTTTAAGAAAGGAAACTTCTAGACAGCCAGATCTGAACCCGTGATATTTAACTTCGTAGTATCATTAACCGGCCCCGCTTAATGGCCATGAATTAATAACCGCCGACGTCGCGTCACGCGCGTTGCCCATTGTCCTTTACGTCTCCAGACTCAACTGCATTAAAAAATCAGACTAGAAGTTTAATAGATTCAGGGGTCGACGATTAAAGTAGCGCAAATAATTTCTTGCTGAATTTCTCATTAGAAGCATAAGCCTCTCAATCCAACTTTATGAAATAACTGAATTATAAAACGGATCGAAATATCCTTAACCGAATGCCGAAGCCGCGATGATCGAGGCTGCGGTCCAGCGCAGCTCTTCTTCAGCGTACATTAAACTTGCCACTTTAGCATCCAATGGTGGTGGCTTTTCACGACGACACCGCGTTTCATCGATCGCGTGTGCCAGCTATTATTCCTCGTGGAAAACGACTATAGCAGCTGGGCTCATCCCTCCTTTACTACCCCTTTTGTTTCTCTGATTGTGGCCTGCTGTTTCGCTCGTACGCTGACGATGAAAATCTGTCACGATATTAGATCATACAATAATTTTTATATTAAATAAAAGAGATCGGTCGTCTGTGTTTTTCCTCCTTTTGCGCAGTGCGATTCGATTTATAAATTTAATTAGTAAAAATCACAAATCGACGAGTGGTAGATTTACTAATAAAATCGTGACTGGTACAAGTGTGCATCACTCGAGTCTCTTTGCAACGATAGACCAACAGGTTTTCAAAAATGCTTCTTTACGTCAGACTTCGACTGTGTTAAACGTTACGTTTAACAGAGGGACTTAATAGTATTGTTTCGGTGGGAACGGTACGTTGCGTATATCGCGGCAAAAAGGGTATCAAGCCCCGTTCGGGCAAAAAGGGCGTAATTGCACTTCGCAACTGTACGATTCTACGCTCGCCGACAATAAGTTTCGAACCGGCGTATCGCACACGGTACGCCCTTTACAGCGTAACCTCTCGCAATTTGTTTCTACGGATATCCTCCTCCGGCTGGGATATCATTTGATACCTGAATCCTTGATGAACATCGAGGTTCTTTTATCGTGTAACTTCAGTATCCAATATTCATACATTCATTTTTCAAACGTTTCATGTTCATTTATGTTATTGAAATTCTGCCTTTTAAATATTTATTAGAAATTGCAATTGAAAAATATTGACAGGAATTCCCACCAGATTCTTAATGAATTTTATTAAACTATGTTATGTTATGTAAACTATGTTATGTAAACTATGTTTGTTAAAAGCAATTAATTTATTAAAAATAAATTAAGTAGATTTTTTTTAAGGTCATTGGAGATTTGACTGGTTTTATGATTATTAAAATTCTTATCAACAGTCTACCAATTTCCATTTTATGATATTACCTCGAATTTCAAAGAAACAATTTTCCCTGATTCCCTTGAATACCAGAGCATTAGTATTCAATATGAACTGTCGACGTTTTGATTTCCAATTCTATTCCCACGGATAGTCGAGTTCCCCACTATTTCCCAGTTCATACGCTGAATGCATCATCGTTAAATCATTATCTATCCAAGTATGTAGCAATGATGAGCAGCGAAAGTTTCAGTTAGCAGTTTTGTAAGCGAACGTTACAGATTCACGGATAGGAGGTCGGAGGAGTCGAGACGTGGGTTTCTAATTATAGCATATATTTGCGAGGAGCGAACATAATCGTGGCTCGTCTAGCCCTCGAGATGCTAACCCGCATAGTTTAGATTCACAAGCCTAACGAGGTATAATCCTCCCGAATGAGCCAAGTATGAATCGAATGTCTACCATCCGTGCCACGTAATTCAGATTTCCAGCCTGTAGTTACTATGACATAAGTGCGGCCCAGGTACCTCCGGGCTCTTGCCGAAACTAAATCGATCGAACTATAAAGCCAGTTTTGAAACAGGCTCATCATTTATCAATTTTTATCAAATTTTTATATGCAATAAATATAACGAATAATGAAAAGATGTTTCTCTACATAATATTCTTTGTCTTCTGTATTCACGTTTCACAATTAATAATAGAATATTACACCGTGGCCCACCCTGTTGATAGAAACAGAAGATAGAAGGACGGAGGCAGGTAAAGAGCAGAGGAAAAGACAACGAAAGCGGACAGGAAAAATAACCAGGATGGAAAAGACAGAAGAAAAAAAGGGGAAAGAGGAAGCCGAAGAGAAGGCAGGGGTTGAAAGTTCTGCAGAGTAATAGCTGCAGAAAAGTGGCCGCGGGAAAGGACGCCAAGAGGGGCGTGTGTATGGTAATGCGAAATAGCCGGCATTAGCTTGTCATAAATTAGTTCCAAAGAGGAATTTGAAATCTGGAGCCACTGTAATCCGACCGATTATAAATGCCTCTCTTCTGGTTCTCGCTCTCGTTCGAGCATCGTTTAAGAAGGGAATGGCAGGAAATATAACTATATAACTATAAGGAAAGTCCTCCCTTCGCTCTCCAAGCTTACATGTTACTCTGTATATAAAAGTAGATTAAAAGCGAGCGAGAGAGATCGGCACGGGAGTTTAAGCCGTGTATGTATACATATGTATAGGCAGCAAACGTTGGAGAATATATAGTAAGGTAGATTAAGATAGTGTAAAGTAAATTCGAGGTAGTAAAAGATTGTAACCCGAAATGGTGTCAATTAATATATATATTATATAAATAAAATATATTAACAATGTCACTTACCCAGCGAAGAACATGAGGAGAAACCAGGATCCAGGTACAGCGACGACGAGTATCGCATCTTCCGCATGCCTGTTACCAGCCAGCCGACACGGAATGCACGCGAGTATCAGTAGGTTGCTGATCACGAATATAAGTTTCGCGGGCTCGTGGCTCTGTAAGGTAAATGTGAAGGCAGGTGAAACGTCAAAGGTAGCGCATATCCATGCGAGGCTCGCGGCCCGCAGAAGAATCGATATCCGCGAAACAGTAACCCACGTGGGTACCCTCCGTCGAAATAATAAATTACATATTATATGACTTCTTCCGAAAGTATCATTTTTACAGGGAAACTTGTGTGACGTATAGCTGCATCGCGAGATGCGTTAACCGAGATTCTTCGTAAAGGGAATCGTTTTCAATTGTCCCGCGACAATTCCGCCAGGTTTGATAAGCGATCGCGATTAATAACTCGCGATAGGGGGTCGCATATATCAAGCTGCCCTAATTATATCGTACACACGATGTCTACGGTATCGAGCGAGCCAAGCTAATTACGAATTACGTATTCCCTCTTACGAGAATGCTCAATGAATGACACGAATTACCGGTAATGCGGTCGTTAGCGAGAAATTAATTTGCGATACCCTCTTCGGCTAGCTGTATGCGGACAACACTAATTTTCGTCCGTTTTCCAACGTATGCCAATATGGGGTTTCGAAATATTTGTTGCGGTATTATCGTGGATGCTCCGCGATTAGCACGAATCAGTTCGATTCTGTTGAAGGTATCGTTATCACATGATCTCTGATGATAGCAATAAGCTTTCAAATGAATTCTGCAGTTTCAAGAATTTTTAGAAATTAATTTTAAGCCAACCATCTGTAATGGTATTTGTATCATAGCTATCGTGACTTTCGTATTGGAAGGCGAGATTCCAGAGTTGCCGGACGGAGTCCCTAGCCACCCTCGCTACCAGCGATTTATCCACAGAAACGGGCCAACTCGGTGGTAGTGCAGGAAGCTGAGGACTTTCTCTGGCAATCCTGTACGAGATCTCAGATCTCTTGGACGTACCAGCTGTTTCAGGAACGACAGGAGACCGATGTTGATGATCTCACCTCCTAGCTGCGCCAGGATGTATCCGAGAACTCCTACCACCGTGATACACTCCGCAATCGTCCGCATCGCTTCTGTGACCTCCTCTGGCCATTTCAGGTGCATCGTGTCCGCGTTCGAGGGTCTCAGATACACGGCCAAAGATAAGGACGTCAAGTGGAACACGAGGATCACCAGACGCTTCAAGAACTGCAACTTTCATTTATTAACAATGATTAACCCAGCCTGGCAATTGATTTTTGATACCAGCGTTCGCAAGAACCGCAGGGAACATAAAAGTTACGTAGTACGAGCTTTCATCCGTTGATCTCGAGAATAAATCGCGCAAACGGGATGTCGCGATTTATCACGCGGTGCAATAAACGCAATATTCGTTAAGTTATCGCGTTGTTACAGTCGAAAGATACACAAAACGATATTTACAAATGTCCGAAGTGTCGCGCATCGGCCACCGCTCGTGGAGTTGTCCTAATGACGTGTTACCATCAAATGTGCTCCGTGATTAATTACTGTACAACCGTGCTAAACCCCGCCAGCTCCCGTTGCTCTGTGTACAATATCGTGGCATAATTGGTCATTTGATGCTTGTATGCGGTTTAAACGTGGTCGTGATTAGCACTATAAGTAGGATGCTGTCATGGATACTCTGCCATTATCATGTACCACGCTCATATGAGATCCACCATTGACTCCGTTACAAATTCCTTGGACATAGCCACGTTGTTGTTCACATTAAAAGGGAACTCAGACATTAAAGTATGTAGCAGATTTTCTATTTATCATCAATTGAATAGTTCTTAGTTTCTATGTAAACTCAGTCAGAGGTTCGTTATCGTGGCATCGTATCAACGTATCGTGACATTGTACCATCGCATCTTATACAATTTCCCGTGAATTATAATAAACTATTAATTATTAAACGTTAATAATAGATTATTTTTAAACAAATTCTCTATTGATTTGACAAATTTATATCAGAAACAATCTCCAATTAATGGACGGCTGGTATCGGTTGCGGTACAGTATTTTTCTGCTCCGACCGTTGAATGGAAAACGCAATCAGTAACATTTAAATATAAAATTTCTGATCAATTCTATGCGTCCACAGTCCGTTAACGTTCCATGCTCACATGTTACAATCGACACGAAATAAAAATTAATAAAAATAAGAAAACCGCTTTAGAAATGCATAAATAATAAATAGAGATTGTCAATTCCGAAGAAGGGTACGTTTAGAGTAAGCAATTCTGCGTGGAGCTTGGGAGCTGTTTTACAATTTCGATGCAAAATTCTCTATCTTATGGTGAAGAATAAAGAACGCAATATTGGTTCTATGAATACGTTGTTGAAAAACCATCTACGATAGAGTCAAATCCATCGTATGTATAAGAGGCATTTGACTCCATGGTAGAAAATTCTTCAACAACGTATTCATAGAACCAACATTGCATTATATTTATTTATCGAAGGCGGGGAAAATTAAAGATTTCTTCCGGCCTGATTAAAACTGCAATGTATTGATGCCCCTGCAATGATTCAGGGATCAGGTGTCATCGTACTCGATGGAAATAAATCTGAATTCTTGAAAAACCCCGTCGATGCCACTCGATCGACCCGGACGGACGTCGAGCACGTGGATGACGTTCCGTCGGGTCACTCGAACGTCAACTCGACGTCACTCGATAATCGCCCCGAGATTATTTGAAATGTACACGAACGCGCAAAATTTTTGATTCGCGCTAATAGCGAGCACTTACACACCTACGTTAGGACAATTAGGATCGTACGGCGTGACACGCATGTCCAATTAACATCGCGTGATTATTATTAGCGACTGACGTTTGATGAACAGTGAAGGAAATGTTTAAGGGGACGTCTGTACGAGACGTCCACTCGTCAGTTCAGAGTACCTCCGGTATTCTCGGTTATTTATTTATTAAAGTTAATAATTCACCTTCTAATGTCCTCGTATAAAATGAAGCGCTAAAAAGAAGAAGAAAATGAGGGAAATGAAAAATACTAAAGGAAAGAATGAGGAGTTTGTTAGAGGAACTAACGCGAGCGTTAAATCTATGTTAAAAAATGTCTCCAATGTATCAAGAGGCAGGCGACAAACAAAATACCAATTAAATTCCTAGAGCACACAAACCGGAAATTCCTAGCGGAACAGTTTAATGGACACCTCTTCCACCGGCGTGCCGAGGGTAAGGCAACGTAGCCTTCTAGGTTGAGTCCATGAAAAATGCGCGCGGAAGAGGCTGGGTCGGGTCGGGTTGGGTTGGTAGAGCCAAGAGAATATTGTCACGTGGACGCACTTACCCGCGCGAAGGTCTTCCATTTTTCCTCGAGTAATCGCTGAATAATACCGCCGTCCAGCATGTCCAAGTGCTCCTCCTTCGTGCCGTTCAGAATGATAAATAGCGCAGAGTTCCAGTCTGAAATAGAAATTCGGCGGGGACCATTTGCGGTTAATGGAACATCGCTTTAGGGTTCCCTCTACACCGGCGATAATTATGGGTTTTGCATTAACGCTATATATTGGATGCGCCACCGGTTTCATCCTACAAGAGGGCTTCCTGGGTGGTCTGGGTGTCTAGCTTTTTCTGTAACCGCGCCACGTGCGCCGCTAAACTTTCTTGCATGTAAAGATAAAAGTTTACTCGGCAACCCTCCGGGCGTCCACCTCCCGTTACCGCCCACGGGACGGTTGCCGGAATTCCACGGAATCGTTAATCTGCTGGCCGAACTTCCCGGCGAAGTACGAAAGTCAGCTAATGTTAGTTCGATGCACTGGTTGAATTTTCACGCTGAGCCCCGTGTAAACGATAACTACGTTACAGCCTGTTACTAATGTATAGGATTCTCGGGAATTCCAGGATAGTTGGACCGCGAAAAGTTTTCATGGTTATTTATTTAAAAATCTTCTAAGACGTTCTGCACTGACCCAACCTGGTCGTTGCAGTCCCGTCATAAATTTCGGGAATTACATGGGAAATCGTGAAGGAATTTCGATGGCCAAGCGAAAAACCGGGTTAGAGCCTGTTACTAATGTATGGCACTCCGGGAATTTCAGGATGGCCCAACCGCGAAAAGTTTCATGCTTGTTTATTTAAAAATCTTCTAAGACACTCTGCACTGCTTGAGAGGCTGCTGGTCTCCGTTACAGATTTCGAAAATTAAACGGTGGTGAAACGCGGAGGAATTTGGATGGCCGAGCGGAACACCGGCCAGTGAACTTTTAACCGTGTCATCCTGGTATTGATTATCGAATTTTGTTCAGCCGACTTCGCCCGAGATATTAAGTGTTTGTCGGACCGTAACTTTCGAAAAGTTTCGCCTAACCATCGATCGGATTTCTTTTCGGGCGCCCCCCTCGGCGTGAAATTCTTTAGGGGTAAACGTCGACCAAACGACCTCCTGCCCCCCCCCCTCCCCCCGTTCTCTTTAATCAGTCGTCGATCCAAGCAGAGCTGCTTTCACGGTGGCTTAAAAGCGTGAAAGTTCGCAGTTCGCATTGAATATTTTCAGGAGAAACGCTTTAGCGTCCGCTACTGCGCGTCGTTGTCAATCTCCATTCTTCTCCCTTTCGCACCGCGTCGCGGGAGTATTGATGGGGAACTTCGCCGACAGCTTTTGCCTGGGAAATTGAATTTCAGATGCGCAAGCAAAATTGCAACGAATATCCGCATTGATCCGGTCCGAAAGTTTCCACGCGGCTTCCGCTTTACCGGGTGGCCGCGATCGATCACCGAATCTGTCGACGAATTATGCCTGGTCTTCTATATTGGGATTCGATTAACCGAGTGTTTAACGGACGTTAGGCGATTGGTTGACGTTTTGATCCTTGGGATACCTGGTTTGTCCGAGAATGTCCAAAATTGTCAGTCTATTACAATTCCTCCAGTACACCGACGAGCCCCATTGAAAATCGATTTGGGCAAGATTACACGCAGAATTAAATTCAATCACGTTTGATCATTTAATTTCCCCTCTTCCCCGGTAGACCGACGAGCCCAGATCGCAGTCAAATTTCGGTTATGTGACGAACTTGGCTAGCCGGTATATGGTCGTTACCGCAACTCCTAATTATATCTAACTTCGTCAGAGACCGTCGGACGAAGTTCTCCCGGACGGGTTTCTCTGGGCCCTACCGAGCGCCGGTGGCCGACCCGGAAGAGATCGACTCTAAACGGCTAGACGGACAGCCAGCGGTGGCAATCCCGCAAAAACGGGTGTTGAACCAAACTTGAATAACGATTCATCTTCCCTCTCGTCCCCCCCCCTATCCTCGTCACCCGTACCACTGCTATCGCTTATAATCATCCCTAAGTGCTTCGCCCGGATAATTATTAACGTTTTAACGGAGGCGGCCATCCGCATCTCCGGTAATCGATTTAAGCTATCTTTCCCGGCTTAATTTTATCAGGGGACATCAAAAGTCGATCGCCCCGGTGATGTAATAGACCGGCAGATTATATCAGGCAACCTCTGTCCCCCGTAAACTGGCCCAATGGATCCTCGTGCCTGCCTCGATATTGACAAAGAAGCGTTAGCTCCATCGATCAATCTTTTCCTTATATTTTTATTCAGTGTTCAAGGCCACGCGTAGCCTCGGATTATTACTTATCATGACTTTATACAGCTGGAGAAGCTATAATACAAGCAAAGCTCTTTTTACAAAATTTATCTGCTTGAAGCAAGTTAATCCAATTTAAAAGATGCATCCTTTAAATGAGATAGCTACTTAGTGATTTATGGTAGATAAGCACTGTAGTCAGTGACGTTTTTAATATCTGTCGATAAATTTTCGACGTTCCTTCTTCTGCTTCACTTTAAATAGTAAATTCAATTTTATATCTTTGATTTCTCAGAGAGTGAAGACTAAATTTGATTTAAAATTTAAGGTACGTTTCAGGGTCCACTGGTCTTGATATATTTTTTTAAGCTTTCATACATGCATAACTTTTCTATAAATGTATGAAACCCGCAATAGACTAGCAAAGAAGACACATAAACGTTTATTATCACTGACGTACATGTGACAGTGAATGCGCTAAGAGAGTAATTAACACTTTTAAAAAGTAACTTCGCCAAGAACTCCCCATCCTTTTTCCCTCGTCAGGTCGTGAGACTGTAGCAAAATAAAAACACGGGAAAAAGGAAGAAGACCGAAAGAAAAAGGTCGGGAACAGTAAAGAAGAAAGTCCAGACTTCGGTTAACTGACTGGTTTACTCAACCGTTCGGCTAACTAACTGACGGACTCTGGCCTTAGCTTAGAGTAATTAACCGTGCCCTGTAGGAAGACCGAGCCGAAACTTCACCCCATTCATGTAGTCTCTCTCTCTCTCTCTCTCTCTCTCTTTCTCTATTTTACGCTACTTCGTTTCCCAATACAATTATAAAGACCGAGTAAATGGCATTAGACCGAAAACCAAAACTGCTACTGTTCTATATTGAGACTGAAGAACGTAGGGGAATCGAGCCACGTGTCAGTTATAGATTCGTCTCAGTGGTTCTGTCGCCTAGCCCGTGACAATTCACACGCCGCAGTGGCAAAGGTGTGCTGGAAAGCAAGAGAACGCGAGGCAAGGCTGGCAGGTCTGACAAGGGTGACAGGGATGGGTGAAAGGATAATGGATTCCGAAACTAAATGAAACGCGAGCACCCAACTCCGCGTCCGCGGCTAATCTCGAAACTTCGTTAAATGGCCGTAATTGCATCCTGCGACGACCCGCTTCACCTCTTGTCCTTCTTCTTCTTACCCCGCCTATCCCTTCCGGAGCGACGCGACGGGCCTAGGCTACGTCCTTCTCAGTCACCCCCAGCCCTGTCACACTAGCTTCCTCCTCCTTCTTCTTCTGTCTATACCATGAATCACCTAAACGTCTGGAAAACTCGTCGATCCTCGAATACATCTACTTTACACGAGTTCCGAGAGCTATTCCCTCATGCGAGTGTGGCTACCTCGAGAGACTGTCGAAAACTTCGATACAATTTGGCAGAAGTCCGATTGCCGGAGCTCTTTAAATGCAGATCGCGAACCCACGACGATGCGTCTATCTATCGGAGACGAATTTCATGGAAATTAGATATTGAATTCCCCCGTTTGATGGAGTATAAAATATAATTGGCTCCCACAGATGAAAAGGTTGAACTGTTCCAGCCAGGCCACCTCAGTTGCGGTATTGATCAAATCATCGTGTTTTAATTAACCTGTTTGTTCGCTGGGCTCCGTGATTGGCCTTTTTTCGAAATACTCGGTAGATACTATAATAGATATTTTATTAATAAAAATTAAAGAAAAGAAACTTATTTAAATATTTATTAATTTTGCTGCCTATTCATTGGTCTTCCTCGTATCTTTAGATATTATAAATTCCACTTTACTTCGGATATTTTTATTTTATAAATCATTGAAAATTCCCATAAATATCTGCGGTCTATTAATAACCATTCCGGAAATTATAAAGCTTGGAATAAAACCGAAGGGAGTAGAATTACTCGATACGACTGTGAGTTAATTAACAATTTCTTATCGGTCTCTTTTTTTTCCGCTGGGAATGCATTAACAATCCCGTTACCTCTTCATATTCCATTTCCGTAGGAAATAAATCAAGAACAAAAGAAGTATAGACGAACATATATACGAACAGTCTTGTAAAACCTGTTTACCAACTCGCGTTTATAATGGACTTTCAGACTTGTTTAAAGCTCCGATGTAAAAACTGGAATATTTAATCTGCTGTTTAAAGGAAAGCATTTCCGTCGTTAACAAATAATCCCCAAGCGAAGTGTACCTGGCGAAGCCACAGATTTAAATAAATCCACGGAAATTAATGTTTTCCTAAACAAAACGATTAAACGAAGAAAAATGAAGAGGACAGATCGGAGAACGCAATTATCGACGAAAGGGTAGTGAAAAAGGCGGCTGATTATACAAAGGTACGTCGCAAAGCGAGTGGCTGCTTGAACGTGTGGCTCGTGCAGCCTCAGCACGAGGACGATTCTCGAAAGCGTGTAATTCGATTAGCATTAGGTACGTACTTGTTCTGCCGTCGGGTAACAGCGTGTCGAGTGCGTTCAGGGGGTACGCCGAGCAGGTGATATTGCTGTAGCGCCAGAATTCCCGTGCAGACAGTTCCAACATCTCCCGGAAGACCTCGGCCCGGCCCAACTGGCAGGCGAGCGTCAATGGGGTTAGTCCGGCGGCGTTCGCTATGCCGTTACGAGCCGGCAGCTTCGGATGACGCAGGGCATACCCGAACATGTCCTACGTCACACAACCACATGTAGATTACAGACCACGTCTATTACACACATTTAAATTGAAGGGTTACCCCAAGGTCATTTCAAGGACGTGACAAGAAGAACTATGGCGTTACGTATAAAAGACGCTAAGTGACCGTCGAATGATTTTGACAAAAATGATGATTGGGTAGGACGACCTGTGTATTATAATACTTAAAGGAAGGAGACAACCCTTACTCAATCTCATTTTCATAAATTGTTGTCTTAGAGGTCATTCTTCCTCGTTTTGGAGGAACTGTATGCTTAGTAAACGTGAAAGAAGAACTGTTTGATCGAGGTAGACCCGGAAATCGAGAGGTAACTAGCAGTTAATTTTCACATGAGTAACCAGGCTTAATAGAACGTGCCGTTAAACTTGATAATCGAGTAAACTGTTTACTTTGGTGTACCTAAGGGTTACCGACACACGAAATGGAATTTATGGTGAATCGATTAATTTACTGGCTCGTTCGATCGAGTTTCGTCTGTCTGCTGTCGAGAATGGCTCACTACATCGTGCAGTTTAGTCATGTACAGGCATGATGAACTTCCTAGTTTAGAAACTCCTCAACGAATCGTAGAATTTCCTTAGTATTTCATTCCACCATCTTGCATCGTCAAACGAACTTTCACAGTGGTAGTATAAACATACCAGTTTATCGCAAACGACGACCATATGCAGTATCATGTTCCCAAAAGAGTCCTGCTCATCAGGATCGGCGCCAGAGTCCAACAGCAAGTTATAAACACTCTCATTCGCGCAGCAAGCGGCCCAAGCTAGAGGATACTCCCCGAGATAGGCTAATCCCTCGTAATCCGTATTCTTGGCGGGGTTCATTCGCTGCTGGTCTCTAGGTAGGAAAAAGCTGCCTATCGCCCGCTGAGAAATGATCGCCCCGGCCTCAACCAGATCCTGCACCAGCTCGTTATTGTTGTACGCGATCGCGAGATGCAGCGCGCTGGCACCGAGATATTCCTCGCCCTCGACAACGTCAATGGCCAATCGCGGGAAGCACTTGAGGAGGATACGCGCCACACGTGTGTGCGTCCTGGTGTCGCATATAATCAGCACGTGCAGCAAGGTCTCTCCTAGAGATCCTCGATATTGCATCTGCCAACAGGCCTCGTGATCGTTCCACTGAGCCAGGGGATCTAGCCGCGAGAGGGACGCTTCTATCGGCAACACGACCTGCTCCAGGTCACGGAACTTCCAACGCAAGTACTCGGCACGATTGATCGCCTGGCCTTTTCCATCCGCGTACATCAGGACACCGAATTGTTCCCTGATCAACTTCTCCACTTCGTACTGACCGCCTTGATTGTACGACTCGATCAGCTCGCCGCCTTTCTTGTAATTGGCTAGGCGGTACAGTAGGCATTGATCCTCGTCGCTCGCCTGACTGATGACACGATCGAGGATCGACCCGGCGTTCACCTGGCCACCGCGACCTCGGCACGAGCAGACGCCGCCCATCCAGATGCATTCCTATGTCCACTTTAGATCTCGTTTTGTTCCTTCGACGGTTCCCTGTTGGTTCCCTCTTGGTGTTGTCTGCCGTTGGCTTCCTCCTTGGTTATCAGCTGCTAGCTGAGTGGAGTTTTCGTCGAGTATCCTCAAGCGTCCTCAAGGTTTTTCCCATTTTTCGATGGTTCTAAGGGTTGACAGGGGTACTTCGCTTCGTGTGGCTAACCGTGATCGACTCGCGAGTGTACCTTCCTCGGTATTCTCGAGATTCCTTCGGCTCGACGAAAGGTGGCACACAAGTGGAAAACGGTTTTCAACCTATAGCAACCGCGGGCTAATCTATAAACAGTACCTGGCGCAGCCAGATACCGGAGGGTCACTGGGTATCGGATGAATTTCCGGTTCTGTGTGTGGCAGAATCAGGTTTTTCGCCTTGAACAATTATTTGGATCTAGGTCAATGTAAATCCTCTTTTTAAAATTTCAGTTCAGAAGTTTATAGATATTCAAAAATCTTTGCGTTTCTCTAAAAAAAAACACGGTTTCGGTAGACCTAAGGACGTTACATGAGTAAAATGAATAAAAGAAATGTTTTGCATTCGATTGAAATTCTGTGCTGGACATATGTAAAACAGAAATAGTAGTAACAAGAACGGTTTGTATTTAGTGGATAATGCATCGTTTAGAGAAATATATAGCGTTACAGAGGTAAGCGTTTTAGAAGGTATCGTGAACTGAGAAAATCAATCAAACGTCGTGAAGCTATTTACGTGATACAGTAGGTAGAATGTCTGTTTCAACGGTCGCGATAGAATGTTTAAAATAAAGCCCTGGGTGTTTGCCCCTGATGGACTAAATAGATTATGTCGATTAACGAAAGCTTGACGTCTACTACGGTTTGTTTCTAGTAATGTTATACAAAAACCTTATGAATTCTTAATAGAAAGCGATTTTTATTAAACGCTGATTTAAGTCTGTATAAATATTCTTTATATAAAAAATGATGACCTGATTTAAATCTGTGTGACCATTCTTTCTAACAAAAATCCTGTTGACGTTTGACTGAAACGAGCAGCATTCGATTAATCGATTATTTATTTTAGTTCTTCCGGTCAATTTTCCAATCACCACACCTGATAATTTTATGCGCATCGACTTATAACGTTACCTTGGCTCGTAATCGGTGTCACAAAAAAAAATGGCACGTATACGTAAACTCTGACGGAAAACGTTTCTCTTGTTAAAAATCATAACGTCTGTAAGAAGTCAAACGAATTTATGATGTGTCTTAGATATGACAAGCCGTGGTCCATTTCTCGTTATCGGTTTTAATGGAACAATGACAGTATGCGCGCTTCTCCGCGGTTGGTACCGGGACAATTGCGCGTCGCAAATGTTGAGTCATCGCCGCTGGAAATATCGTAATTACATAGTCCGTACATACAGATACATTCTCTCCTTGAACGTGTGCAGCCAACCCGACGGTGACGTGTCTAGAAGATTCGCGACTCGCGGAATAGAAGCACGTAACGTTGTACTTACCTCCCAAATAGAAATTATGGAAAGGCGTCGAAATTTTAATAAATAAATGAATAAATAAGAAATATATTATAAAATATTTTTATAGAATCTATGGAAGCTTCCATGCATACGTAATTCTTAAACAATGGAAACACCACGACTGTCAATATTAATTTAATTTAATAATAATACAACCGACCGTGGATTTGTTTATCGAGAGTCGTTGTAGAAACAAAATAAACAGAAACTGCAACGAGCAATAAATGATTCCAACGAGTTTAAACAGTCGTTATTTTCAGCAGCGAGAATAAAACAATAGGCGATAACAATTTTTCACGTTTAAACGGAATTAACCGGTTAGGCGGGAAGATCTACGAGGGAAGTTTGAATAGACTTCGTTTTATGTACGTGTAAAATCCACTTCTCCTCCTTGAGCAACGTCGTGAACTCAAAGAAGATCTATATTAGTAAGTACAGCTGCGAAGTTGAGTCTCGTCATCTATGGCATGATTCTTCGATGGATCGTATTACGCGCACGTATTTAATCGCAGCTGATTAAGTCTCTATTTCCAATTGCACTCAACCTTTATGTATTTTCAATTGCATATAAAGAATCGTATATCTCAGAACCCGTGATTAAATACTCGTTTCTCTGAATCGTGATTGCCGTATAAACAAAGCCAGATAAATGTTTCTAATTTCAAGGAAAAGTGAGAAAAAGACTGTTAGTGTCACAGGGCGACGATACAAAGTCATTCGCCTGTCAAAGATCATGATATCAACCTATCCGCGTATGTATCTATCTATGTACAGACACAGACATGTACTATTACGAGCGTGGCAGTGGGTTTATGGTATCCGATAAAATACCGGAAATCCCCGTACATTTCGAAGGCAAGCCACGTTGTTTACGAGCCACCGAATTAACGCCGGCAGTCAGACTTCCCGCTGGCATAAATCTACACCAACTGATGATCGTTCGATTCATTCCACGGTGAAATTTCAACGGTATCAACGAGCCTCGAGGTACGAACGCTGAGAAACTGCATCATTATGCGTTATTACGAGATATCGGCGTGTTCAGTTACCTCGAAGTCAACGACCAACTCTAGATGTTCACGTTGTCTATTTCGACTGATGTCTTCGACCATGAAGATCTAGTCTATTTTCTATTATCGTCAAACGATCCGTTTTGTTGTTTACATAATTTTATGCCAACTTGTATATCTTAAATTACTAATCGGACGATTATTTTGAAAACAATTTATATCTTCTTGCAACTAAGTATGCCTATGCTTGTTAGCATGAGAACGTAAATAGGAGACCGACGAATCCTCTGGTATCGGTGAGATAAGCTGGAAACATGGCTGGTGAAACGATCGTTGATGGCTACTGTTGCCCATCGGACCATCGGTTTATCCGACCTGTCGCAAATCGATTTCATTTTATTTTTCAACGGCCGACACGTGTCATCGTCGCTTTGTCACGGGCTCCTGTATTAATATTTACATTATCAACGCGTCAATTATCGACACGTTCGCCGTTCGATTCTCTCTCCTGCCGAATGTTACATAAATGGTAGAACGCAACGTTTGCGTGTACTATGAACGGTGAGTGTGTACGTTGCATACGCGTAGTTTGAACAGAACAAATAACCTGCGATCGACTGCCTTTAGTAATCGCAGCCTGTTCTTGTTCAAGGTATTCATAGTTACAATTAGTCATCAACGCGAAATCGTTTGTAATTCGAGGAACAATGAGAGAATCTATTCGTCATATTTCAGACAGCCTTCGTTCAGTTTTCTGCGACAGCAACAATGACTATTATGCAATTATTCACGAAATTCTATGTCGCGAAGGATGCTCGTAACGATTATTACAACCGTTCGCATGGTTGTTAAGCTTCGCACGAGATTAACGACGCTACCGAAGTGATCAGCGTGATAAATGATTTCTGACGATGTACTATACCTTTATGAACCTTCTGTCTCATCCCGTCATAGCTAGACTGTAGATTTTTATACGAAATAAAATGTTTATCCTGTCATTTTAAAAAATGAAGTCTCTATTGGTATTTCCTTTAAACCCAAATGTTATTCTTGAAGAGGTTGTTGGGTCTCATTAGATGCACTCCAGGGTATATGATGAGATTTGAAATAGAAGGGATCAAATTAGAAATAATGATCATAAAAAATTCCTTCACTACTGGGCCAAACTACTAAACATGGACGACGCAAGGTTTCCCAAGAAAAGTTCCAATAGATTAATCATATTGGACAACAAAGAAAAAGGTAGGAACACGAATAACTGGGCCACGCAATTAAAGTCCAGCTCTCAATAGAGCAGGGTACGAGGAATTATGGCATAACGCATCTGCTATAGAGGTATTAGAGAAGCTGCCGAGTATTGTGAAGAAAATCAGGGATATATCTATCTTCGAAGACATGGATAGGATCACAAACTCCAGCTACAGTCAGACGTACAAGACTATCGGGGACTTAGAAACGTACAAATGCGAGGATTATATTCTGATGCCTGTAGCAATCCATATTATAAGAACTATAGCGCAACTGAGACTATCGGGAAGGAGGGTACTTAAATTAAGTAGTAGACATAACGTATTTTATAAAATTCTTGAGATAGTGTACGTTATGCAATGAAATTGAACTTGAGACTGAAGAGTATACATAATTCTTAAACAATGGAAACACCACGACTGTCAATATTAATTTAATTTAATAATAATACAACCGACCGTGGATTTGTTTATCGAGAGTCGTTGTAGAAACAAAATAAACAGAAACTGCAACGAGCAATAAATGATTCCAACGAGTTTAAACAGTCGTTATTTTCAGCAGCGAGAATAAAACAATAGGCGATAACAATTTTTCACGTTTAAACGGAATTAACCGGTTAGGCGGGAAGATCTACGAGGGAAGTTTGAATAGACTTCGTTTTATGTACGTGTAAAATCCACTTCTCCTCCTTGAGCAACGTCGTGAACTCAAAGAAGATCTATATTAGTAAGTACAGCTGCGAAGTTGAGTCTCGTCATCTATGGCATGATTCTTCGATGGATCGTATTACGCGCACGTATTTAATCGCAGCTGATTAAGTCTCTATTTCCAATTGCACTCAACCTTTATGTATTTTCAATTGCATATAAAGAATCGTATATCTCAGAACCCGTGATTAAATACTCGTTTCTCTGAATCGTGATTGCCGTATAAACAAAGCCAGATAAATGTTTCTAATTTCAAGGAAAAGTGAGAAAAAGACTGTTAGTGTCACAGGGCGACGATACAAAGTCATTCGCCTGTCAAAGATCATGATATCAACCTATCCGCGTATGTATCTATCTATGTACAGACACAGACATGTACTATTACGAGCGTGGCAGTGGGTTTATGGTATCCGATAAAATACCGGAAATCCCCGTACATTTCGAAGGCAAGCCACGTTGTTTACGAGCCACCGAATTAACGCCGGCAGTCAGACTTCCCGCTGGCATAAATCTACACCAACTGATGATCGTTCGATTCATTCCACGGTGAAATTTCAACGGTATCAACGAGCCTCGAGGTACGAACGCTGAGAAACTGCATCATTATGCGTTATTACGAGATATCGGCGTGTTCAGTTACCTCGAAGTCAACGACCAACTCTAGATGTTCACGTTGTCTATTTCGACTGATGTCTTCGACCATGAAGATCTAGTCTATTTTCTATTATCGTCAAACGATCCGTTTTGTTGTTTACATAATTTTATGCCAACTTGTATATCTTAAATTACTAATCGGACGATTATTTTGAAAACAATTTATATCTTCTTGCAACTAAGTATGCCTATGCTTGTTAGCATGAGAACGTAAATAGGAGACCGACGAATCCTCTGGTATCGGTGAGATAAGCTGGAAACATGGCTGGTGAAACGATCGTTGATGGCTACTGTTGCCCATCGGACCATCGGTTTATCCGACCTGTCGCAAATCGATTTCATTTTATTTTTCAACGGCCGACACGTGTCATCGTCGCTTTGTCACGGGCTCCTGTATTAATATTTACATTATCAACGCGTCAATTATCGACACGTTCGCCGTTCGATTCTCTCTCCTGCCGAATGTTACATAAATGGTAGAACGCAACGTTTGCGTGTACTATGAACGGTGAGTGTGTACGTTGCATACGCGTAGTTTGAACAGAACAAATAACCTGCGATCGACTGCCTTTAGTAATCGCAGCCTGTTCTTGTTCAAGGTATTCATAGTTACAATTAGTCATCAACGCGAAATCGTTTGTAATTCGAGGAACAATGAGAGAATCTATTCGTCATATTTCAGACAGCCTTCGTTCAGTTTTCTGCGACAGCAACAATGACTATTATGCAATTATTCACGAAATTCTATGTCGCGAAGGATGCTCGTAACGATTATTACAACCGTTCGCATGGTTGTTAAGCTTCGCACGAGATTAACGACGCTACCGAAGTGATCAGCGTGATAAATGATTTCTGACGATGTACTATACCTTTATGAACCTTCTGTCTCATCCCGTCATAGCTAGACTGTAGATTTTTATACGAAATAAAATGTTTATCCTGTCATTTTAAAAAATGAAGTCTCTATTGGTATTTCCTTTAAACCCAAATGTTATTCTTGAAGAGGTTGTTGGGTCTCATTAGATGCACTCCAGGGTATATGATGAGATTTGAAATAGAAGGGATCAAATTAGAAATAATGATCATAAAAAATTCCTTCACTACTGGGCCAAACTACTAAACATGGACGACGCAAGGTTTCCCAAGAAAAGTTCCAATAGATTAATCATATTGGACAACAAAGAAAAAGGTAGGAACACGAATAACTGGGCCACGCAATTAAAGTCCAGCTCTCAATAGAGCAGGGTACGAGGAATTATGGCATAACGCATCTGCTATAGAGGTATTAGAGAAGCTGCCGAGTATTGTGAAGAAAATCAGGGATATATCTATCTTCGAAGACATGGATAGGATCACAAACTCCAGCTACAGTCAGACGTACAAGACTATCGGGGACTTAGAAACGTACAAATGCGAGGATTATATTCTGATGCCTGTAGCAATCCATATTATAAGAACTATAGCGCAACTGAGACTATCGGGAAGGAGGGTACTTAAATTAAGTAGTAGACATAACGTATTTTATAAAATTCTTGAGATAGTGTACGTTATGCAATGAAATTGAACTTGAGACTGAAGAGTATACATATAATTTACACAATATGTAATGTGTAGGATTCGTCTAAAGAAACAATATCCAGACATTCTGAGAATAATCGAGGCAGATCAAGCCAGAGAAGTATACTATTTTATACAATCTATGTTAAAAATAAGAGCTTTTTACCTAAAGGCAAGTACTTTATTGAAATAAGGTGCAATCAAGAGTAAATGTATGTAATAGCTGAAACTATTCTGACTATCGAGACACGATCGCAATAGGCGCTAGTCAATAAGCAATTATCGTTTATTAGTATTATTATTATTATTGGTATTTCTTTTAGAGATTTCTTCATATTTTCCTTTAGACATGTATATTATGCATTTTGTATTCTTTAGACTTTTGCACGTTTTGTTCTATAAGACGCGCGACTCCTTTGTGAAGCAAGAGAAGCTCTACCTGTTCGTTAAGTCAACAGAAGCAAGCGCATCGGAGACTGGCAAGAATGCACTTATGTAAACATTAATAGTCGATAGTTCTAGATGTCTTGGTAATACCAGGAAAAATTGTGAGTCAAGTGTCGCGCCGACCGGACCACGTGACCGTCCGTACCACGTGACTAGGACGAGGCTTCACGGGATTGGCCGAGTAGAAACCGACCGGTCGCATATAGACTGGCGCGAGACAAAAGTCGTAGTGCAAAGCGTCAGCGAGTTTGAGTGAGCTGGTTCTGTGAGTGACCTTGATCCCTTCGCGAGTTTTCTGTGACAGCTTCGCGGCTCGCAACAGGCAAGCAACCGATACCATATCCAGTCAGTACTAATCGAATCATCGTACGAGTGCGATATACGGATCGACGTTCGCCGAACGTGAGAACAAGAATAAGAAGAATTACGGGAAGAGGAATAAGAATGAAGATCCTCAGCGGTGTTCTACTCGTCGCTGTGTGCCTTGTCGCCAGCACCCACGCCTTCCCTGGTGAGTACACAAATGTAATTTACACAATCATTCATGCAATAGAGAGTTGCTATTACTTTTTAAATTATATTAAAAAAATTGACGATATTCAGTCAAATTTTATTTTGCAATATTTATTACAACTGAACTTTATTCGTTTGACGTTTGATATTTATGACGACTGGAGCGTTTCTTGAAAATGGTCAATTAAATTATTTATGCACCAAAGAGTTTTTGAAACGTTTTATTTTCGAAAACCAATTAAAAAATCAATTCAATCTTTTAAGCACCAGAGAGTTGCCTCTTCTTTTTTCAAGCGTTATATTTTCAAAAATCGATTTAGTTTTTTAATCCTCTCTTTTTTGAAACCGATATACCTACAAAAATTGACAATTTGCTCAAATCGAATTTTGCCTATCGCTCTGCATATTACAACTGGAGCATCGTATTTTAAAAAAATGGACAATTTAATTTTGCCAGTCGGTACTTATGGTTTGTTTACTTTTATCTCCTTCTGTAATGAATTTTTCTCGTTCCATCAAGTTTGATCTGTCGATTCGCTTTTAAATTTCTAAGAGGATTTCTACTTACACTGTATATATAAGGAGCGAACAGGTTCGGTAGAGCTCCTTGGCAATTGCTAAGGTCACATTCGTGATCTTGTCGCGTGACAGCTGAATCAGGTTCCGTGTGAAAGGAGCATGCGTGCAGGGACTACGTAGTACGTGTCGGAACGAAATATGGAGATAGGGTACTTGGGGTGGTTGAAAAGTAATTTATCAGGTTTTATTATCGTCGAGAATAGCAATTCTCGTTAATACGTCTAAGAAAATTATGCGTTTTGATACAAATAATTACTTAATTATTTACGCCTTCATCATCGACTAATTAAAATCCTATCAGTAAAAATTATAAAAAGAATGTAATATCAGATAGGAATAAATTATACGAATTTCATAACACGAGGACATTTGTGACTGTCTGAAATATCTCTCAAAATTAATTCTCATGAAACTGTCGAAGTATGAAGAAGGTATCAGCGCAAACTAGGAAATAATAGATTTGGTATTAGAAGCAAAGAGTGATAAGAATTTCATAATCTAATAACACTTGTAAATGGCTGTCCGGAATATATACGAAAATTAATTCTCGTGAAACTGTCAAAGCATGAAGAAAGTATCAGCACAAAGTAGAAAATAGTAGACTAGGTATTAGAAGCAAGGAGTTATTCTATGATTATTTCATAATCTAAGAACACTTGTAGGTAGCTGTAATATTTACTAAAATTGTGAAACCACGTATCAGAGGTGACTCATTATAATAGACGTACAAACTTGAACCGAAGTAAACGTACCCATGTCAGTTATATCAGTTCCCCCTAATCATTGAACAATACATGAAAAAAGAATTGTTTTCCTTGAGTCGTTTGACGTCGATATCTATCGCGACACACTTTTTGCTCGTCGTCGAGACTTCTCGAAACGTCCGAGTAAAGCAGAGATAAGAAGTCACATTATTATTAAACTGCAGATATTTATGCAAATCCCGATTACGAATAAAAGTAAAGAAACGAAATGTATATCGATATTCGTTTTCCTTTCTAAATATCATAAATTGTATTTAACTTTAATTTAATTTATTTACGTTTGCGCATTGCGTCTCTAAATCATTGAAAATTGCCATTGGTGCATAAACAACCGCAGTATTCATTATACATACAGAAGGCATATTATAGATATTCGTAGAAATTTGACTAAAATTCAGAAGAATACATTTGTAAACTAAACTTCTCTCGTAAAACATTTTCAACATAGAACAGTGGCATCTTACTATAAAACTTGGCAAATCAAGAACCGCGCTGGTCTGCCGTTGCTTTATGCAGTTTTATGCGAAAAGTTCCACGCGGAATGACCGTGTATGCACAAACGCCTCCTTCCTCCTCACAACGGCTGGGAATATTGCCAATTGGCGTATGTCTAGTTTAGTGTCTACTGCGGTGTAATTTCCACGCACGCGTCTTACGTGCGCAGTTCCTAAATTATACCAAACTTTTAATCTTTACTGTCGACAGTGTCGACTGCATTGTTTTTTACAATTTTACTTAGTGCAGTGAATAACGACCAGACAATTGGAAGTCTTAGCTAACTTCAGTTTTGAAA